CTCTCAGACGTGACTTTCCAAATAAAAGGCTTTTGGCGTTATCACGGTCCAGGACATTTCAGTTGGAACGAAGTGAACAACAAAACAAATGATGCTGCTGAAGACGTGTCACCTGAAAAAGCCACTGTCGAAGCAGAAACTCTACTCGGTTTTGAGAAGGGAAACAGTGAAGCCCTTGATGAAGTTAGTACCTCTGATGTGACTGTTACCGATAATAGGAAAATTCTCGATGGAACGGATGAACCCCACGTAAAGAAGAAGCCAACGAGGTGGAGACCAGTACGGAAGAAGATACGTCTCGTAAAATTAAAAGACTTTGTTGAATTTTAATTTTGTATTTGTAAATTCTGTACATTTAATTAAGTTATTGTTAATTATCTATTGGTTTAATGTAAGTGGCTATTGTTCGGAATGAACAATACTAAGGAAAGGGCAGTGTTACGACAGCGGAAGTCACGTGGTGCTGGTAACACGTAATGAGTTCTAGAAAGATCGGGGAATAATCCAGTATTTGCTAAGTGCCCTCTATTCTTGTATATAAGTGCGCCAGACAATTAATTGGGATTGAATAGCAGACAGAGAGATTGAAGATATAGATGGACAATTGAGTCAAGCAGCGGTAGTAAGTAAAGTGCGTGAATCGTTCATTGTAAATTATAGCGTGTGTTTAAGTTAAGGTGACTGTGGAAATTAAGTGTATTGCAAAGTTGAATAGAGAAAGAATAAACTAGTTTTATTTGAGAAAAGACTTGTATTGCTGAAGTTCTTTGGAAAGAATTTTTATGAGTAATTAACAAGCGACCAGAGACATAACAGTATTAAGTTTAGTAAAGTTTAGCCCTAACTAAACTAAAGCAAAAACCAGTGGCATAAGTATGCTCAGTCAACCCATGTAATTGCAGGGGTGGGGAGCCAAAATCAGCCACAATTGTAACTACAAATATAGGGAAATAAATTAGGGGCCCAATGATTCATTATGTGTGGGGGGCATCTTTTGTAGTTATACCTCTGCAAATAATCTACACAAGTTACAGTGTTAATTTATCTCTTTATTGGCTAAACTTTATAAAGATTTAACTAATGTTAGGGCTAAGACAGTAGACTTAGATATTTTGGTGTTTGCAATTAGAATTCTTTTGTATTATTCTAGAAATCTTATATTTAAAGAAGTTCTGTTGCAATAAAAAACTAATTTGACTGCAAATGTTTTGAAGGTTTCTGCTAGTTATATTTATTGCTATCTACAATAAAATATGTTTTTCATTCTTATAAATATATTAAGTAGATTCTTTAAAAAATACAGAACCAAAACTATTTTTTAATCATTATCTTTTCATTATACTTACCTTTTAAAAGCATTGGATGGTGAACTGGATTTTGCATTGTCTTCAGGCCCATAGAAAAGATTATATTGGGCCATATGAGAACCCAAATCATACACCCAGTGATAGGCCTGAAATTAACTTAAAACATGTAATGCTTTGTTTGTTAATAGGTTGGAAGATAACTAGAAACATCTTTGATTTTAGATTCTGCCTTATGTCAATGGCACCCTTTACAGTTTGTTATCTGTTCCAGAGATTAAGAACAAAGCCCAAGAAATGGTGAGTTATTCAGACGTAAAACCCAACTATCATATTTGAATTGTTTTTAATACTACTAAGAACAAAATATTTTAGTTATTTCCTTTGTTTTATGTTTGAGCTGTTTTTAACCTCTATTCTTTCTTTTTGTGTGTGTTAAAAGGATGTAAATTTCATTTCAGTTGTTAAACTTACAGCAAGATGTTTTGATCCTTAATTATTTTTTGAAAAAATAATATAATTCTTATTTCTTTGCTTTGCTTGAAATCAAAAAGTATACTCCTACTGTTTTCCTTTTTCTTGAGAGAGAATAATTGAATTATTATTTTTATTGTATTTGAAATCAAAATGTTTTAGTCTTGAAATTTGTTTACTTCTTTTTTTTTTGTTACAGAAGAAAGTAGTTGTTATTTCGTGATGAATCTTTGTAGAATGGATAGCAACTGCCTGTTGTAGAGACACAAGTGTAGAGGACGATGTTTCAAAAGTCTTCCGCCTTTTGTCTTCAGGTCAGTGAATGTAAGGTGTTGTTGGTCTTTATAGTATTCTGGTGGATTGTGGAGAGTGTGTTATGGTTGGTTGGTTTATCCATGTTTCTGATTGGAGGAGAGATTTCATGTAGATTCAACCAATGGTAGCCAAGGTTACTTGCCTCTAATCCGGAATCTCTGTTTAATTGTGTTAATATAAAATGATTCTTTAATTTTTCTTGTCTTCCAGAATTTGTCTGTGTCAACGATTCTACTTTTTTCCCAGTATATTTTGTGTACAGTTGACATGGCATGTTCTGCAATAGCTGAATTTTGTTATTTCATGAGTCTTGTACTGTCTTTATGTTCTTTTATTCTTGTTGCGAGCCTTCTTCCCATTTCTCTAATGTATATTTCGTTGCAGGAACTTGAAATTTCATAAATGACGTTTTTGTGTTTCTCATTGGTAGGTTGCTGTTTGTTTTTTATCAGAATGGAGCTTAATGTCTTGTAGCATTTCCACCAGACTCCTGTGTTGAATTTCTTGGCTGTGTGTTTGAATTTTTCACTGCAATTTTGCAGGTAGGGGAGATAAATGGTAGTTTTTTCTGTTTTCTTCTTTCTGTTGTGATCTTCCTCAGGGAGTTTTTGATGAAGGAGGTGTAACCATTCTGTTTAAAACCCTCTACGATATTTTGGCGTACCGTTTTGATGGATGTCTTATTGCAAATGTTTTCTGCTCTCTTATTTAGGCATTGGATTATACCACGTTTTATCAAGGTTGTATGATAGGATTTGAAGTGTAGGTATCTGTTCGTGTGGGTGGGTTTTCTGTAAGCAGTTGTGGTGATTTTTCTCTCTTGTCTGCTGATGAGTATGTCAAGAAAGGTAGGCTGTTTTGTTCCTCTATTTCCATGGTGAAGTGGATTCTTTAGTCTATGGATTAAGATG